GGGAACAGTGTGTAGGAAGGTGACCGTGTAGTGTGAAGGAAGACTGTGGGGACAGGCTGTATGGGTGGCAGGCAGTGAGGGAGACTATGTGGGCATGCAGGCTGTGGGAGTGCAGGGTGTGGGGAAGCAGGCTGTGGGGGAGCAGTGTGTGAAGGACATGGTGTGGGGGTGACAGTGTGGTTGTGCAGGCTGTTTGAGTGCAGGGTGTGAGTAGGCTGTGGGAGTGCAGGGTGTGGGACGGCTGTAAGGGAGCAGGGTGTGGAGGGACAGGCTGTGGTGGACGAGGCTGTGGGGGAGCAGGGTGTGAAGGATATGGTGTGGGGGGCAGGGTGTAGGGGAGTATGCTGTGGGAGTGCAGGATGTGGGGGGAGCAGGCTGGGGGGGATATGGTGTGGGGGTGCATGCTGAGGGGGGGACAGGCTGCAAGGGATAGGGCAGGGTGTGGGGGAGCATTCTGTGGGGGGACACGGTATGTTGGAGCATCGTGTAAGGGGGCAGGTTGTGGGAGTGCAGGGTGTGGAGGTGCAGAATATGGGGGAGCATGTTGTGGGAGTGTAGAGTATAAGAGGGTAGGGTGTGAAGGTGCAGGTTGTGGGGGGGCAGGGTGTGAGAGACATGTGTGGGGGAGCAGACTGTGGAGGGCAGGCTGTAGGGGAGTATGGTGTGGGAATTCAGGGTGTGTGGGGCAGGCTATGGGAGGAGCAGACTGTGAGGGGGAGCAGGCTGTAAGGGATGGGGCAGGGTGTGGGGGGGCAGGCTGTGGGGGGCAGACTGTATGGGATGGAGCAAGCTGTGGGTGAGTATGGTGTGTAGGGGGAGCAGGCTGTGGGGGAAGCAGGGTGTGGAGAGGAGATGCATTAAGAGATGGGCAGGGTGTGGGTGTAGCAGAGCCTTAGTCCTGGTCAGGAGTCTCCCTCTGCTATGATCAAGAATTCAGGAACTCAGGACCAAGAAATAGCCACTGAATAGCCACCTCTTCCCCAGCAACTGGCCGATACACAGTTCTGGGAGTACAACTAATTTTATTTTGACCACACGCGGCTTTTATGCACTGACCCCTAGAATGGGGTCTCCACATCAAGAATTCAAGGGTTTTCCTCCCAGTAGTCTCTGTTTCTGATAGATAATTGCGTGAGAAAACTATAACTCAATTATCTCTCAGATACAGGAAACATAAACAATATTATAAAACATCATAAAAATACATTTTAATAACATAGGAACCCCACGAAAGTCATGGATTGCAGGATAAAACTTACAAGGAAAGGTTAAAGGAACCTAACATGTATAGCTTGGAGGAAAGACGAGACAGGGGAATATGATTTAAACATTTAAATACATAAAGGGAATTGTGGCAAAAATAACCTCGCCACTGGGTTTTGGAGGGGCCTGTTTGCCAGCCTTTTGCCTCAGGATTATGGGCCCTGCAAAAAGACATGCTAAAACATCTATTTGAGCTTATTGGAGTTTAAAACACTTTGTCTGCCCCTTTAAAAGCATGGGAAAATGTGCCTCTTCCCCTCCCCCTTTTTCCTGTCCTATTGTTCTACAGCAGGGCGTTGTCCCAGGGACACTGCCAGACCAGTTGAAACTGACTGCTTTGTCCCTCCTCATCAGCCCTTGCTATTTTCTGGCTCCACCCTTATTTGTACTATAGTGCACTTTTAACATTGGACATATTGAGCGCTCAGATCCAAGCTTTCTGGGGATTTGTTGGACATATAGGTTAAACATTGTATTATATGAATTATGTATTTTTATGTGGTTTTTGTAACAGTTTTTGACTTAGAGATAGTTCCTGTTACTGGAGATAATTAAGTTACCACAGCCACTTAAGCCTGGAGGAGATAGACCAGCCGCACAGCCCAAATCTGTGGAACTGTTTTGGGCATGAAAGCCATGCTTGCGGTCGGTCAAATATGACTTCCAGGGGGGGCGTGGCTACCGGCGGAGCAAGATGGACATGTAATCCTTAGCTCCTGCACATGGGCTCCGATAAAGGCGTCTCAACACCCACAATAGACGAACCTGGCAAGCAGAAAACTAATATGTCGCAACCTAAACAGAAACGGCAAGCCACCAAAACCGAAAAACAAAACTTTTTTGGTCAAAATGCAGCGCCGAACAAACAAACGAGCCAGCAGCACCAACAAGATGGCGGGGAGGAAACACACGACGGCAACCTCTTCACCGACCCTGCTGACCAGACTATGGAGGAGCCGGTCACCAAGCAATTCCTTTTGGAACACCTGGGAGCATTCTCCAGCAAAATGATGGCTGGCTGGGAAGCAGGCCTATCAAGCCTGAAGAAAGACATAGGGGAGCTGGGAGCGAGAACCTCCTGCGTGGAGGAGAGAATAGAGGAAACACAAGAAGCACACAACCACCTAATAGACCAGGTGAACACACTGCAAGCCACAGTATCCACAATGGAGAACAAGCTCATGGATATTGAAGATAGGGCGAAGAGGAATAATTTACGACTGCGGGGCATACCAGAAACGGTGGCCCCTGCGGACCTCCAGGCCTACGTGCACGAATTCTTCCATGCGCTCTCGCCAGACACACCGCCAGATGTGCTCCTCTTGGATAGGGTACACAGGATACCCAAACCTTCACACCTACCACCCTCGGTCCCCAGGGATGTCATCCTGTGCGCTCACTACCACCATATTAAAGAAATAATATTAAGACAGAGCAGAACCAATAAGAACGCACCTGGCAAATACGCTGACATAAAGATATTCCCGGACCTATCCGCGGCGACGCTGAGAAAGAGGAAAGCCTTCCAACCCATCACTACCATCCTCAGGCAGCACCAAATAGCCTACCGGCGGGGTTACCCCCTCAAGCTTCTCATCTCTAAAGGAGGCGCGACGAAGATATTGACCTCGCCAGAAGATGGTGATCAGCTCCTCAGGGAATGGAATCTACCCACACCAAGCAAGCCGGCAAGAGATACTGCCATGCTGCATCGCGAATGGCGAAAAGTATAGTAACAATAGACTTATAACAGCCAATCTGGACTGCTAATACGATATAACAAGTAGAGGCTGGTAATGTATATAATGAACCAATTGTTTATGTTATTTTTGTTAACTTTGCGACACCTCAACCCGCATAACTTACCTGCACAGACAACACCTACACGCACGCCAAAGCACACCTGAACCCCGAAATGCCAAAAGCAGCCCACATCCGGCTTAGATTTATCCCCTATCTAATTGTGTACACACACCCGTCAACCCACACCTAAGACAAAAGGGTTATGGATAACCTACCGACCCTAACATGCTGGAACTGACGCGAAGCTAACATGCAGACGCAAAACTGGCTACACCGCAATCAGAGTGATTATCTAGGATTGTAAAACTGTAACAAAAAAAATAAAAAAAATATAAGAGTTAATAATATTGTTAATCTATTACTGTATATTAAAGTCAGGCAGTGCACGAGGTCGGGGGGAGGGTGGGGACACGCCAACCAAAGTACCCCGGAACTAAACGCAGCACAGGCGAACCAGCGCTTGCAGTACAAGGAGCTGTAGCAGTTCTCCCCACCACACTGTAGCGAATACCAAGGTACTACAAATTGGAACTGAAAAAAAGGCGTGCTTGCACTCCCTCCTGCCTTGGCACTAGTATCACGATAAGGCACCAAACCCATAATCAGATGTCTGCTAGAAGAACATACTCACACCACAAGAGCATATTAGACACACACAAAAAAAGGGATACTAGCCTGGCATTCATTTCGGGGCATATGATAAAACTTAACCAATGAAGGAGCCCAGGTAGCCTCCTTCGTGAGCAGAAAGTACATGCTCACCACACCCCAGGTACTACCAAGAAGTACCGAGCCCTACATCTGGGCATTGTTGTATATAGTTGAGCTCTCCACGAGACTCAGGTTTCTACCCCACCAACCCTCACCCCTAGTTGCAAACCATGAGAAGGTTCACGAACCTACTATACCCAAACCTATGCATATTAAGCAAACAGCCTGCACATCACCCATCACCAGGTACATACCATGGTCGGCATACCGAGGCAAACTCTCACTAAACCTTAAACTATACTACCCAACAACAGACGAAGAATTCAAACCTGCCCAACCCCATAATGAAAATATACTCACATAATGTTAGGGGTCTAAATTCCCCCAAAAAACGCCAAACACTGCGCACGGAACTGAAAAACCATAACGCGGATGTGATCTGCCTCCAAGAAACTCACTTCAAAAGGCAGACATCTCCATCCTTGGACCTTAAACAATTCCCAAACCAATACCATTCCACACATAGCCACAAATCCAGAGGAGTTCGCATTCTAATACACAAATCAGTGGCATTCGAACCACTCAAAATAGTCAAAGACACCAATGGGAGATACCTCATACTAATATGCAACCTTAATGATGTCACATACACCATAGTCAACATCTACGCACCAAACGACAATCAATGGCACTTCCTACAAAAAATACTGACTAAAGTGAGCAACATACAACAAGGCATATTAATATATTGTGGAGACCTAAACCATACCCTAGACCCGGAAATGGACACTACACTAGACGCAAAAAAAAACAGATTGACATCCCTCAGACCGGCCTGCACCAAACTTAATAAACTGCTAATTCAATTTAATTTATACGATGTGTGGCGCACACTACATCCAGGAGATAAGGACTACACCTATTACTCCCAAGTGCAGAAGACCCACTCTAGGATAGATCATTTTTTCGTGACCAGCACAGGATTACCACACACGCATCAATGCATACATGGCGACATAACATGGTCGGACCACGCCCCAGTGATACTGACACTCACTGACGCATTCACATACAAAGGCAAAGGCTCATGGAGACTAAACAACTCACTGCTCCACGATCGAGATTTCACTCTCACACTAGAACAAGAACTTAAACATTACTTCACTACTAACGAGGACCCCCAGATCACAGCCCTGACCCTATGGCAAGCACACAAATCAGTCATGCGAGGACTGATGATCCGCAGAGCATCATATCTCAATAAGCAAAGACGAGCAACACTTATGAAACTGCTCATACAGCTAAGAGATATAACCCAAACATATTACCAAACAAAACAGCAGGATCTCCTACCGGAAATCCAAACCATCACCACCAAAATTAATGAACACCAATTCCAAAAACCGGCATACATTCTGAAAAAATTTAAGATGAACCACTATGCGAAAGGGAACAAAGCTAGCAAACTGTTGGCCAACATGCTACGCAAAAAGCAATCTAATGCTAAGATTCCATACATTCTCTCAAAAGGTAACCAAAAACTATGGAACCCGCAAGACATGAATAAAGAACTAGTGACCTTTTATAAAACCCTCTATAATCTAAAGGAAGATAAAACCCTATACCAGCCAACTGCCACAGACATTGAGGGATACCTACAACAGATACCACTGCCAACATTGACAGACGAACAAAAACACAAACTGTCGGAACAAATCTCGATAACAGAACTGACAGACGCGATTACCAGACTACCTACAGGGAAATCTCTGGGCCCAGACGGATTCACAAATCAATACTACAAAACTTTTGCACCTATACTCATTCCTCACATGAGACAAACCTTTCAATCCATAATACATACAGGGACAATCCCACAGGAAATGCTCATAGCCCATGTAGCCACACTGCCCAAACCGGGGAAAACGCCAGACAAAGGACAGAATTTGCGCCCCATTTCACTTCTCAACACAGATGTTAAATTACTGGTGAAAATATACTCAAATAGATTAGCTACCATACTTCCAGACCTAGTCCATGAAGACCAAGTCGGCTTCATAAAAGGAAGGCAAGGCACGGACGGCACTAGGAAAGTTTTAGACATACTATACAGCATACACAAACGGAAAACGGGATGCCTATTCATGTCGCTTGACGCCGAAAAGGCTTTTGATAGGCTGAACTGGGACTTTCTCAGAGCGACCTTAGAGAAATTCGAATTTCCTCCAGAGTTCATGAACACTCTACAAGCTCTTTATAGCAACCCCACTGCCAGACTCACCAACGCAGGGTTCCTTTCGGATCCGTTCGCAATCATGAACGTGACCAGACAGGGATGCCCCCTCTCACCCCTGTTATACGTCCTAGCGTTAGAACCACTCACGACCCTCATTAGACAACACCCGTTAATCCTAAGCGTCAAAACAAAAAGCAAAGAACATAAACTTACACTATTCGCGGACGACGTACTACTGATGATACAAGACCCGGAAGCCTCTCTACCACATTTCCACTCCATACTAGAAAACTACAGTAAAATGTCCTATTACAAACTGAATATTTCTAAGACGTAAGTACTTTGCAAAGGTCTCACCCCAGATGTCACCCATAAACTAAAAAACACCTACACATACAACTGGAGAACTGACTACATCACATTTCTAGGTATACGTTTCACAAAACGGCAAACTCAGTATAGAAATAAAAAAACAACTACAAGAATGGAAAACATCATTCATATCTTGGTCAGGCCGCATGGTAGCGATCAAGATGATAATCCTCCCCAAGTTGTTATACCTATTCAGATCACTTATGATCCACATACTCGCCACTTATTTTACCACAATCCAACGCTGGATAACCAGATTCGTATGGAATGACAAAAGGGCACGTATAGCCATTAAGGTACTGCAATTACCGCTCAAAGAAGGGAGTATGAATATGCCAAACCTTAAACAGTATTACCACGCAACCATACTAAGCAGTATCATCCAAGCACGGCCAGGTACACAAGCACCTCAATGGAAGCACCTAGAAGCAGAATGGGCCGATAATGCTAGTACTGACAATTTAGTGTGGATACCAAAACTTAACCGGCCGCAACTGCAAGACTGCCTACCAACCACAACATTATCACTAAAAATATGGGATGGGGCCCGTCCCATCCTAACAAATAATTCAATCATCTCCAAAGCCATGCCACTTAAGTCACTAGCGCACATTATCCCGGATTTTAACTACAGAATATGGGAAAGACATGCATACAATTCCTACACCAGATAATCACTAACACGGGACTAACGACCTTTGCCTCATTACAAGATTACCATAAGCTACCAATAGTAGCACATTATTCATACCGCCAATTAGACTCATGGCTACGCATACAAATTCAGGAGAAAACAATCAACACTCAGGCACAAAAGATGACAGCATTCGAGGAAATGTATACTAGCCCCACACCGCCTCAGAAAATCATATCCTCTATCTACACAACACTACCCACAAAACGCAAAACGCACGAACACAAATTTATCAAAGCATGGGAAACAGAGACCCACAAAAAATTTACTGAACGCATGATCCTAACCCCCAAAACCTTCTCTTTATGCTCAAGACATATAGAGCTTGCCAAAAAACTCTTATATAGATGGTATCTCACGTCCATACGACTACACAAATATAACCAATCTCTTCCGACACACTGCTGGAGATGCAAATCAGGCACAGGGACAATGGCACACATATGGTGGACTTGCCCATGCCTACAAAAATACTGGAAAGACATATCCAAACTCAATACAAACAGCACAGGATGCACCCTACCTCACAATTTAGAACACTATGTGCTCTTCAATATCCCAGAGGCGCTACCTAAGCCAGATAGGTATAGTAGCCCTGGGCGCCCTAGCACAAAACTGGCTATCACAAACTATACCCTCCATCTCCATGTGCATACAACAAATAAGCCACGCGGGCCATTTTGAAACCACAATGAGAAGGCAAAACACGCCTCCCAACAAACCACATAAACAGTACCGGAGATACTGGGAAATAGCATGGGATAAATGGGAAACATACAAAGGTGGCACAACAAGGAACCCCCTGTCATGAGCTGACCTCATGACTGACCGAAGCCCACACAAGGCCAGAATACACATCAAAGCATACTCCATCATACAGGAATGTTAGATTAACTGATCACAAGGAGTACGACCACTCCAAACAACACAAGAGGTCATAAGGTGAACCCGAATAGCAACCTGAATAACCCTCAGGCAACCCCAAGCACACATCAAGCCCCCATGGGAAAACATGACAAACATTTTGATTAAGGCAGAAGGTTAGGCCCTAGTTCTTTCTCTCTCATCTACTTCAAGGGTAAGGGAAAGGTATATACACCAACGGTCAATGTACGAATACCAATTGTCTTGTACTGTTCAATAGTTATTATATGTACTTCTACAACTGTGCCTAAAGAGACTGTTTGTAACAACCACCTTGTACAACTTCTTAATGGAATTGCAACCTCCCCTTCTTTTTTCTGTACCCTCAACCTCCCGAGAAATGACAAAACAATAAAAAAATTCAAATTTAAAAAAAAAAAAAAATATGACTTCCAGGAATTTCCTGAACCCCTGCTCTGATCTGGGTTATTTTTAGATATGTTGTTCACCTAGATCAGGGCTATCCAGGGATGTAAAATGGGGATATGGGGTGTTTTCTGTGTTTTTGTATCTTACTCAGTTATCTCCCAAGCAGAAGGGAGGGTTTGTGTACATTATCTTGGAGTGTCTAACTGTACAAGTCTGTCCTGATTGGCTTTGTAACTTTGTATCTTGTGTTCCACAAGGTCCACGTGGGTGGTAACCTTGTGGAAAAACCTGTATATAAGAGACAATAAACCCTCAGACTGCTGAGTTCCTGTTTTACCCTCAACATAGAGCCTCGTCTCATGTGTGGGGGAAAAGGCTGCATTGTTTTACGCTATATACTCCCCTGGCTATAATCACTAAGCTCTTTTAAGAGCTTATTTCTGCTTCACTCTCTGAAAGAAGAGAGGTCACCCACTGGAGCCTGGAGCCTTGATGTAGGTCCAGGGTGGGTAGGAGACGGCGAGACCCCCAACCAAGCTGCGGCGGTTTGTGGGGTCTGCAGTGCTTATGGTGTCAAGTGGAGTGCTTGGAGCCCTCGGGAAGCACTAAGAGCATTCATCAGCAGAGGTACCCAGTCGGGGTGCAAGGTGATTTGTTACAGTGGTGGCAGCGGTGGGATGGCGTCCTAGTGCGAGTTAAAGCATCCTGGAGACACCGTTCAGTGGTACACGGCTCAGTGTGTTCCCGAGATGGCTGAGTATGAATTCCCTGATGGTGGGGATTACGATGGCCCTGGCCTATTCTGGAACAATATTGACGACGACAACTTCGGAAATGCTCCCGACTCACGTTTTTGGGACCTGCTTTATGACCGGGAAGACATGCTGGGTCTCCCTGGCGCTATTGGCCTAGAGGCAGACCTGCGGTATCTGGTCACCAAGGAATGGCGTCTGGAGTGGGAGTACCAGCACCTCATCAATGGGTCCCTGGAAGAACTTCTAATGGCAGGTAGAGATGGGACCGGGGTCTCGCTACCGGCCCTACAGGGATGCCCAGATCCCCAACCCCAGGGTGAGTTACAGGGAGAGGAGAGCATCAACCCCCTCCCCAGCGGCAGACCAAGTTACAGGGAGAGGAGAGCAGCGACCTCCCTCTCCAGCAGAAGTGCATCATGCAGAGGAAAGAGACAACCGGTCTCCTCCCTCAACAGCAACCAGAGGTAACCGAGGGAGCGGACCTCATAGACTAGTCCTGGGAGGACCCCCAGGAGTCAGGTGGGTGGAGATGGGACCGAGATCTCTCTACCGTTCCTACAGGGATGCTGGGCAGTCGGCCCAGATCCCCAGCAGCAGTGCATCTCACAGGGAGAGGAGACAACCGATCGCTCTCCCCAGCAACAGGATGAGTGTCCGGGAGAGGAGACAACCGGTCTCTCTCCCCAGCAGCAGTATGCTCTACAAGGAGCTGAGAGCATCGACCTCCCTCCCCAGTAGCAGTGTACCTTCCAGGAGAGGAGACAACCGGTCTCTCTCCCCAGCAGCAGTATGTTCAACAGGGAGAGGAGAGCATCGACCTCTCTCCCCAGCGGCAGTGCATCACACAGGGAGAGGAGACAACCGGTCTCTCTCCCCAGCAGCATTATGTTCCACAGGGAGAGAAGAGCATCGACCTCTCTCCCCAGCGCCTGCAGAAGTATCAGGAGGAGGAGGTAAGCCGTTTCTCCCCTCCCCAGCTATCTCCTAACGTTACACCTGGGTTAACAACGGAGATGTTAACCTCACTGGCCCCCTCTTAGCCGGAGAGGTGGCACCTGGGCAGAGTGCCGCTGGCCTCTGCCCTCATGTTCCCCTTGCTACCGGGCAGGACTATGCCCCGGTCCCCTCTGTAGAAGAAGAGCTGGCAGCAGGGCAGAGTACAGTTGACCTCTGCCCTCCC